GCCACTTGAGGGCCTTTTCTACAAGAAACAAAAGGCTCACAACTTCACTCGTAGCTTAAAACTTTGACATTTCCAAACTTAAACGTGGGGAAAAACCGTCCGTTATATACGAAACGCAGTTGAATTCAGAGCCGTCATTTGCATCTCTTTTCCCTCCCTTCCATTCTCTTCTCTTCCACTTCCCTCTCCTCGTATTTCACCCCTAAACCCCCCCCCCCCTCTCTCTCTCTCTTTCTCTCACCAACATCGTCCTCACTCCCTCTTTCATCTCTCTCAATCCCTCACCCTCACCCTGTTTTTCTCCCCCTCCTTCTCCCGCTCCTCTTCTGCTGTTCCTTCTCTCTTCCACTCCTCCTCCCCTCTCCCCCAACCGCCCTCCCCGCCCCTCCCCCTGTGCTTCCCCTACGCCTCCTCTCGAGATGCCTCCTCCGTCTCGCGTCACACAATTATGTAGTCTCGAGCACACTCACTCCCACGTTAATCTCTCTCGAGACTTCACTCACAGTCTCATCAGCCTTTACCCTTCTCTCTTCCTCCTCTTCTTTGACATCCTTTTATTTCCGTTCTACGTTTCTCCTTATTTTTTTCTTTAACCAGTTTGTCTTTCATCGTCCATATTTATCTTCGGTCCCTGGGAATGTCCTCCATTATGCATGCAGGGCCTTCCTACTCCAGGCTTCCTGTCCTTTACTACCCACCCAAGTTTTGCGTTTCTCTTTTTCGTTCTTCTGTTATTCATTTTCCTTGTTACCATTATCCTCATCCTCATTACTATAATTATTGTTATCATTGTTATTGCTTTTTTTCTCTCTCTATCTTATACTTCCAAGCTTTCATTTACGTTTCTTTGAAGTTTTTCTTCTTCCTTTTCTACCTTTCTTTCTCTTTTCCGTCACATTTCTCCCCCACCCCCACTGTTCTTTTTCACCATCTCTTCCTCTTTCTTTTTTCCTTCTTCCACCTCTTACTTCTCATTCTTCTGAGCCTCTTTCTTCTTCCGCCCTCGTAATTCCTCCTCAGTCTCACCCTTTCACTCTCACTACCTTGACTACGCCTTTCCTCCTTTCGTCCTGACTTAATTTCTCTTCTCTCCCGCCTTTCCCCAACATCTCTGTCGTCAAGTCTTCATCTTTTTCGTTATTCTTCTCTGTTCCCATTCTTTCCACTGTCGTATTTATTGTAGTTATTTTCTACCTTCCATATACGCTGTTTCTCCACACAAATTCTTAATTTCTCCCTTCTCTATCTCTTCTCCCACATTCATCGGCTACTGCCCTTTGGCCTCTTTTCGTACTCTTCCTACTCGCCTTCCCTTCCTCTGCACACGTTCCCACCGTCCCAATGTTGACAGGAAGTTTTACCGAACGTTCAATGGGCACGGCGAGTCTGGGAACCACTACCCTCCTCTTTCTTTGTTTTTCCTTCTCAACACCTTCACTATCCTTTCTACCGTCGTCATTCGTTCGTCAATTTTGCCTCTTATGATTCCATCTTCCTCGCTTACGTCTTTGCCTTTATCTCCACTTCCACCACCTCGCGCGCCTCAGGTATAAATAATCTTTCGAGTGTTTTATCGGCGTTTCACCTCGGCCAAACTCGAGACGGTATATTTCTTCCTCTCCTCTTCTCTATTGCCTCTTTTTTTTATATCGCTCCACACTCTCTCTCTCTCTCTCTCTCTCTCTCTCTCTCTCTCTCTCTCTCTCTCTCTCTCTCTCTCTCTCTCTCTCTCTCTCTCTCTCTCTCCTCTCCCCGCTTTTAACACTGACCTCCTTTTCCGATCTTATATTATTTGCTTGTTCTCGATTTTTCTTCCACCCTAGCACGCGCTCCGCCTTGTGCTTCCGCAATCCCTCATCTCCCTTAAAGCGTTCCTGATCTGACTTCCATGAGTGCCTTACGGTCCCTAGTGAGTTCCTACGATGGCTCTGCCTGCATCGACTTGTCCCCGGTTCATTCGATTCCCTGTATACCTCAGGTTTTATTTTTTTATTTTTTTTTTCATGTTTCTCATGTATACCTATATCTTCCTTCAAAAATACCAACAGCCTCAACTTAGGTGCTCCAAATCCGGCTCATCTGTTCAAGATCCCCGTAAATGCCGAGGGAAACTTGAATATGGCCCGAGACCAGTGTGTCTGCTCTAAGATTCCCCGTGTGTGCTCTGGGACTTCCTCTATGTGTTCTTGGATGATCCGTGTGTGGTCTAGGATCCGCTGTGTGTGCGCGAGGATTCTCCGCGTGATCTAGCGTCCTTACCTCTTCCTCACGCGGGGCAACATTCAGTCCTTGCTAAATAGGAGTGCCTCTAACGTTTGTTGCTGTGTAATACCTTAATGGCGTTTTCACAATCTAAGCGGCCGATTCTGCCGATACAGTTCCAGGCCTGAACCGAGCCTGACCTTCCCCTTGGACCTGCACTTCCCAACTGAGGCTCTGTTAGACACCGCCACGCGACTTACACTTTGTAAGATGAACTGCCCTTATTTGGGAGACTTACCTGGGATTACTTGATGCGTGTGGGACTCCTTTAGGATTCTTTCACGGTCTCTTGATAGCGTGCCCTCCGTCGATGTTTACATGGTAAGAAACACTTAATACCAAATAACAGTATTTTCTCTCTTTTTATCTATATTCTATCTATTTCCTTATCGTTCCTCGCTCCTTTTTTTCTAATAATGTCCTTTGACCTTCTTAAGACGTCCTTCGAACTTAAAGCTTTATTCCCTCTAAAACTCAAACACACAGTCTCCGGAAAACAGGCCTTAGCACATGGTGTGTTTGACAGGAGACCATAAACGTTGAGGGTCGGCGAGCGTCGGGCGGGACCGCACACACTAGAAACGTTGTTGGCCAGAAGGAACCGCTGAACAGATTCACATTTCACGGACAAGTATCACATTTCGCTTGCACAGCTGGCCCGGTTGTCTGGCTGGGAAGTCAGTGACGCTGCGATAGGGGACTTGGCATCCCTTGGCTGGCACTCCCTCGCCGGCGCTGCAAGAGAAAGAGGAAAGCGAATTAGGGGCAAGGTGGATGATGGAGTGAGGGGCGCCTGTCGCACAACACTGGCCCCTGATTTGTCTGACAACCCTTATGCGCGGAGATTATCCTTCGCCCCTCTCTATAGGACCTGCTTATGCTCTGTGATCCTCTTGCTTCCTTCCCACAATCCTTCTCATCCTCTCTACCTTCATCCCTCACTCGTCTCCCTTTTTCACAACATCCTACCCCCCCTCCCCCTCAGCGCTCTCTGCACCCTTCTCCATATCCCCGCCTTCCTCTCTCTCTCTCTCTCTCTCTCTCTCTCTCTCTCTCTCTCTCTCTCTTCTGCTCCTTTCCCCATTCCCTCCCCCCTTCTTCTCTCCCCAATCCCATACCCTGCCTGCCTCTGCGTCCCATAGTCCCTGAACGGGAATCGTACCTTCTCATAAATCCAATCGCACAACTAGAGTTCGGATCCCCTCGCGTCGGGAAGGGGAAGAGGAAGGGGCGAGCGAAGTCGGGGAGGGAGGGAGGGGAAGAGGAAAGGAGGGGAAGGGGGTGGTGTTGGGGAGAGGAGAGGAAGGGGCGGGCAGAACACAGAGGAGGGGCGGGGAAGCGCAGAACATCAGGCCGGACGCTGTCAGTCTATCAGCCTTCCTGGCGAGGTTGGCTAAACAGTTTCTGGCAGGTCTGGCTTTTCGCGATCAATTCGTTTTCTGCTTTCTTATCAGGGTGTAAAGACTATGTTCAACCAGGGCGATGGATTTCTTCGTATGGACTCTCCTCAACCCCTTCCTCTTTATCAGCCTGTCTGTTCGTCCGTCTGGCTCTTCTCTCTCCCTCTTTATCTATCTTTTTCTTTCCCTTTTCTTAGTTCCCCTCTCTCTGTCTTACTCCCTCTCCCCCTCTCTCTCTCTTCTCTCTCCCTTGCTCACCCATTTTCTCTTCCCTCTCTCTTCTAAACCCAACTCCCTTTTCTATTTTTCACTGTCTGGATAACATGCATAATCCTCCGGCCTGGCAGAAGTGTTAAAATGAACTCCCTCCATGTGGTTCTTTGCTCTATTTCGAGCATTCACCCTTCATTTAAATGGGACATCGCAATCATTCTGCGTCGCTATCAACCTTAATTAAGCCGTTTAGGGGAATTACTGCTCGTGTTATGGGCTACTCCTTGTGCTGTGGAACAAAGCCATGTACTGTGGATTTTTCCTTCACGTTGTGGAGTTCAGTCTCGTGTTCTGAGGTATTTTTTAACACGCGGGCGGGAGACATATCTTGTGCTATGGAAAGTTCTCATGTGGTCGGGATCTACAACACTTTATATGGGTGTAATCCGCCTTTTGTGTCATGTTGGGCCGCAGTTTGTGATGGAAACCTCGTTTACCCTGCCACTCCTTCTGCCCTAGTCCTCTGGCATGCCTCTCCGATTCCTCCTTCCTAGGCCTAATCCGCAGCCCTCGCCGCCTGCCTACCGCTTACCTCGCAGGATCACAGCCATCAACTCCGGATTACCTGATTTCATGTTTCTTCTACAAAGAGGAGTAAATAGATAAATAACTGTATTTTCATATTAGGTCATCGTTAGAGATGTAGTTCACTAAATCTGTACGATTTTTTTTACTTAATGCGATCATATGTCTCCTTTAACAGTAATTTATTGTACTTTGAAATTAGTCACTTTGTCACTTTGATAAAAAGAATATATAACTACTTAATACATAAGTTGTCCCTGAAAACACTTCCAAACTAATTTCCAAGGAAAGGCTGCGTGTTATACATGTTTGAGCGTGTGTAGCGAACTTGCAGCCAATCAGAACGCGGGCATCAACGACAGCTGGCCCACGATTGGTCCGCGGGGCAGCCCTCGTACGAAAGACGCAGAAACCGCAGCAAACTTGCACCATAAGTTGATCACACGCGTTACCGCCCAAGACGTGAGGAAATCAGCGACCGTAGGTGTTGACCAGGAAAAGAAAAATCCTCCTCTGCTCGTCACAATATTGCTCTGCTGC